CTGGCAACCAATATTTCACCTACCTGGGGATCCATTTACGAAATTATTTATCTATACTTTAATTTCACTGATAATCTCAATTCTAATCAGTTTAATCTGGTTTCCCATGCAAAGCAGATTAGATGCAGCAAAAATACCGAGAAAAGACTAGAGTTAAAAAGTCAGGAGACTGTTCAATTTCAATACATTTTTAGATACTTCTACTCCTAATGTTACCAGAATGATCTTACCTAGAACAGTTCACTTCTTAACAAGGTAGGATAAATGAGAACTTGCTGTTTGTCACAGTTTTAATACAATTTTAAGTAAATGTTCCCACCTTAAAAATAAATAAACGATTAACCAATCATAGTAATACCTAGCAATATAGTTGATATATTAGTTTAATGACTCATTTAATTGCTAAGCTTCTATTGTTCCAAAGGAGAGAAAGAATTGAATCGCTGCTTCAGAAGTACACACTTTTAGTACATTTCAGAGCCAGGACAAACATTTCAGATGCTTCATGAATGTGACCCCTTTTCCCCTCAAAGTGATTTTTATGAATTTCAAACTTCAGAAAAATAACCTGCTGCAGTTTCTGGTTCCTTCCTCAAACAAATTCCTGAAATTAAACCATAATACCCAAGGGAGCTATTAATTTTTATGAGAAATCATTGAGAACTTAGTTGTAGTCAAACTAGTATTTCCACTGAAACAATCTTAAATTATCAACATAAATCTAAAATTATTTATAGACCCTTAAAATATGAATCACTTCTTTTTCATAAACTCATTTCGTTTTCCCTTGAAACTTGGACCAAATCCTATGTACTACTAAATTGTAATATGTTTTTTTCTGGAGTAAATAGAAAACATTTTTAGTTTCAGTGTTACTTTGTTATTGTTACATTTCATTATAAAAATGACACTTTGGATTTGTTGTATTTTTATAACAAATTCTTCAGGTTTCTATATCTAGATCTCCAGGCTGAGTAAGAAGATCCTGTCACACACACTGTATGATTCCATTTACACAACATTCTTGAAATAACAAAGTGTAGAGCTGGAGAACAAATCGTGGTTGTCAGGGGTCAGGGAAGGACGAGGAGGTAGCTGTGACTATAACAAGATGGCAAGAGGGACCCTGTGGGACAGAAATGTTCTGTGTCTTGACAGTGGTGTGGCCACACAAATCTACACGTGTGACAGAATTATACAAATCATTACACACACACACACATGTGCGCATATGTAATTCTGGTGCAATCTGAATGAGGTGCATGGATTGTATCAATGCAATTTCCTGCTTACACTATAGTTTTATAAGGAGCTGCCATTGGGGAAAACTGTGCAGAGTCCACAGGATTTCTCTGCATTATTTCTTACAACTGTATGTGAATCTATAATCATCTCAAAATAAAGTTTTACAAATTCTATATAAATGTTTACTGTTTCTCACTAAATCCTTATTCATGTAATGATCACCATTTACACTGCAGAGCAAGAAAACCACGCCCATGATATTTTTTATATTAAAAAAAAGGAAAGAAAATGCCCTAAAACAGAACCATTTCAGGATGGCTCAGCTACAGTAAAACCCAAGGTTACTGTTCACTGTTCAACACTTCAAACACAGTCCTTCCCCAAAGTTTCTATTTTAAAAAGTTTCTATTCTAACATTAATTAAAATATATCTCCCTAACTTATCAAATTTCTAATGGGTTTTGTTTATTTTTATAAATGCAGAACAGGAATCTCAATACTTTAAAATTGACAGATTATTTGATTAAGAAGAAAATTATGTGTATTAAACATCTTAAATGATTTAGAATAAAATGGCAAATGGGTTCACCATTAAGCCCACTCAAAAAAATTTCTGATACTTTTAATTCATTGTCATACTACATAAAAATCACATTACTCTTATCCTATAGGGAATTTTCAGCAATTCACAAATGTCACGTATCATTTATTGGATAAAAAGCTCAAAAGCAAAGCATAATAATGTTGTGTCCAATCAGGCTTTTTCAGAAAAAAGTCATTAAGTTAAGGATTTCTCCCATACATCTCTAACTGTGAGCTCCATCATGACTGCAGAGTATGCAAGGAAACTATCTTCTTAGACATCTGCTTAGGATCCACAGAGTCCAGAGCCCTAGGGTTATGGAGTCCCTTCAGGGAAAGGGGAGGCCAACGAAGGGGAACAGAAAACCAGCTACTCTTTTTCCAATTTTTATAATGGGCTAAAATTTGAAAACCTCGCAGCTCTGCTGTCCAGCCTCTGGTTCCCATGCAGCTACAGGACCTTCCAGACCCACTACCTCAGATTTACTAGAGCAAACTGCTGAGAAAGAATCTAGTTTACTCATTGCACTAGCCACTGTCTGCCTGGCAGAGGCCACCTGGGCCAGGGTCTGACTCTGCTCCCCATAGTTCACAGGACAGCCCAACCCGGGATGCCAGCCCCATTCACCCAGCTGAACCTGGGCCTCTGGTCTGAAGGGTACGTACCTGGTTGCCTGGGCTATGTGTGGAAAACCCTGGAACAAGCAGTGTGAGTGTGGCAGGAACAGGGAGTCCAGCACCAGTTATTTATTTATGTTCTCTGAAAAATGAAAATATGAGGATTACAGTATTTCTATTTAATGGTTTAAAATCTGAATTTCTTTGTGATACCACCAACACTTTCGGGTTCAGCAAAAAACAATATGTGAACAGAAAGGAGTAGCTTGTGGAAAGGTCTAGTGAGGAAATTCCCCAACACAAATAATCTACCTCAATCTAATTTGTGCAGAATTTAACTTAAAAAGCATATTTTAAATTTTAACAAGTTGAATGATGTATAGTTATTAAAAAAATAGCCCTGGCCGGTTTGGCTCAGCGGTTAGAGCGTCGGCCCGCGGTCCAGAGAGACCTGGGTTCGGTTCCCGCTAAGGGCATGTACCTCGGTTGCAGTTTGTCCCCGGCCCTGGTTGGTCGTGTGGGTGGCAGCCACTCGATGTGTCCCTTTCACATGATGTTTCTCTCTCTCTCTCCCTCCCACTCTACCTGAACAAAAAGTGGAAAAATGTCCTCAGGTGAGGAAAAAAAAAAAAGAAAGCAGTTACTATCCTGTAAATACAATGTATAGTTATTCATATCTTAGTAATAAAAGAATTGGAAAATTAGTTAAGAAAGGAAGAAAAATCTTTAAGGTATTTATTTGTTAATTAAACTCTACAAAAATCAAATAGTCCATTGAACAATCCAATCATTGAGACATTATTTTTTTAAAAAATTAATATTGATAGAGAAATTTGGAACCAGTATGATGCTCTGATCCAAAGAATAACCAGAGCCCTGGCTTGTTTGGCTCAGTGGTTAAAGCATGGGCCCATGGACCAAAGAGTCTTGGGTTTGATTCCTGACCAGGGCACATACCTGGGTTGCAGGTTCCATCCTTGGCCCCTGTTGGGATGGAAGGAGGCAACCAATGGATGTGCCTCTCTCACATCTATGACTCTTCTCTCTCTCTCTCTGTCTCCCTCCCTCCCTTTCCAGTCTATGTAAAAAAAAAAAAAAAAAAAAAAAAAATCAATGGAAAATATCCTCGGGTGAGGAGAATTAACAAAAAACAAACGAACAGAAAGAAAAAGACAAAAAAAAGTATAAATATGAAAAGGCTGGGCTACCTTATACCAAGATCATTTTACGACCCAATAATAGGTGAACGCCAGAGCTTGTGCTCCAAAGGTGTCTTAAAATAGCCATTGCATGTAGTCAGGTGCCATCAGGTGAAACCCCAAAAAGAACTGAGGCACAGGGCCTGTGAAGCGCCTGTCCTTCGTCAAAGCCAGGAAAGCGGACGCGGGCAGTGAGAAGGGAACTGCAAGCAGAGTCCTTCTGGGGAAGGAGCAGGGGGTCCACGCCGGCACGTCGGGCTCCCGGGCGCGAGGATGAGCGGGCCGCTGGATTCCAGCCCTCGCCGGTCTCCCGTCTTTCCCGGGAGATGGCCCAGACGCCAGTCGGCGGAAGGGTCAGGTCTTCCGTGTGACCCGGTCTATTAGACTGGCCGCGGCAACCAGAACTTCACGCCCAAGTTGGAATGCAGCCTGGCTGGAGGTCGGGAAACCCAGCCCGCTGCACGAGCGCACCTCGCACCACCGCCCCTCCACGCCCCAACACAAGGCCGGTGCAGCGCCGGTCCGTCCGTCTGCACAGGGGTGCCGAAGGCTGAACGACCATCCCCACGCGCCGCGGGGCCAGACGCGCAGAGACCAAGAGCGGGGCTCTGGGGGCAGAAGGGCCCGGGTCCGAGAGACCCTCGCGGGGGAGAGAAGGGGAGACCCCGACCAGAAGGAAGCCCCGAGTAGGGAAGGTTCCCGGAGGAGACCCCGGGAGGGAGTCCCGAGGGCCCGAACTTCAGGCAGGACCGGAGGCTCCGTGCCTCTCGCCCGAACCCCACGCAACGCTCACCGGGATGTTCCGGACGCCGCGCGTCCTGGGTCCGGGTCTCCGGTGCCGAGTGGCGAAAAGTGGACAGACAAGGGGCTCCCCTGCATCCCTTCACAGAAAGCGGGGCTGCCCCGAGCCAACCGACCCCCCTCCCGAACGCCGTCTCCGAAGACGCGGCCAAGGAGGAGTCGTGGCCCCTTTAAAGGGGCGGACATGGGTTCCGCAGGCTCCCAAGCGGCGCGGTGCTCCTTGGGATTTGTAGGAGAGACAGAGCGATGACCGGTGCCGTGGGCCCCTGGGCTGCGCAGTGCACGTCGGGACTTGTAGGAAGGGCGGGCCTGAGTAATGTCGGCCCCTGGGGCCCATGCACCTCGGAGTCGGAGTTGGCGGGGCGTGCGAGTACCCCAGCCCCGCCCCCTGCCCAGCGCGCTACAGCGTCGGCGCTGGGGAGGGGCGGGGCCTGGGTCCTGTCGGCTCCCGGGAGTGTCCGTGTACGCCGGGAGTTGTAGTTCCGTCAGCCGGACCTGTCACCGCCTCTCCTGCGCCCCTCCCCGGGCGGGTGTCCAGGGAGCCGAGGACGAAGACAGAGCGCCTAGAGCCGGGCAGGAGGCGGCCAGGTCTCCTGCGCAGACGGCCGGGCCGGCGAGCAGCGGGGAGCGCCGGGGAGAATGGTAGGTGGCCCACGGTGTCGCCTTCCGCCCGGCCCCTCCTGCGCACTCGTGGCTGGGGGAGCGTCGGGGTCGGGGGGCCGGGACCGGAGCTGGGGAGCGCCGGGCGCGAAGGTCACCGGAGCGGCGGGGTCGCAGTCCGTCTTCCTTCGCCGTGGGCACCGCTGGAGGTGGGGAGGCGCGCAGGTGGGAACCTGCACGGCCCAGGGCAAGTGACCTAAGTGCAGCATTTTGGTTTGACGGGTTGGAGGCACAGGACAAGCCTGCGGACTCGGACCAGTGCTCCAGCGAAGCACAAGCTGCCAGGTGAACGAGGAGGGACGTTTCGGGCAGACGCAGCATCCTTCAGAGGTGAAATGGACAAGATAGTGCCTTTGAGCATTGCCAGTAATTCAGTGTGGCTGGAACGTGGAGTTCAGGGTCGACAATGGCAGGACTACACAAGAAGGGCCTTGTATTCGATGCTGAATGTAGAGCTTATCCAGGAGATAACGAGAGCCATAGAATGTTTTTAAGAAGTGGGCTCGTGTGTGATTTGATCATACTGGTATTTTATAAAAAAGCCTTTTGCAAAGAGGATAGGAATTGGATCGAAGGAGGGTCAGGATTGCAGGAAAACTAGCTAGGAAGTTGTAATAATTTAGGGGAGAAGAGGTGAGGTCTTGAGCCAAAGATTATTTATGGGAATAAGGGGGATAAGAGGAGGGAGGGGTGAGGATGTTTACAAAACTATTCAGAAAGGGAGACTAAAGGAAAGGAAGGACTCAGCATTTTCTGGCTTGGGCATCTGAGCAGATGGTGATATTATTGACCAAAATAGGGAATAGAAAGGGAAGAGCAGATTTGTGGGGGAAGACAATATACTAATGAGGGGGAAGTAGAGGGATCATATAGTTAGTTGGAGATATAGATCTGGAGCTCAGAAAAGAGGTTTTGGGAAATGTAGGATTACTTTGAAATGTAGTGGAAACCATGGAGTTGATGGGTTTCATCATTCATTCAGTAAATTCAGAGGTTTCTCTTTGCAAGGAAGGTAGTGTGCAAAATGTTGGGGGTTTCATGGTAAGCAAGACTGACGTGGGTTTGGTATTCATGGAGCTGATGTCATAGCAGGGGAGACAAGCACTAAACACAACTATTTTATTACAGTTGGGATGAGTGCTAGGGAGTGGCACAGGTTTCAGGAACCCTTGTGGTGGGGTGGGTGAGTGGTGTCAGATGCCAAGGGAATGAAGGCTTAACCGAAGTAACACAGTATGAGCTGAACTGTCAAGAATGAGTAGGGTGGGAGGGGCAGCCAGAAGTGTGCAGTATTCTGGATGGAAAGAACAGAATGGGTGGTAGGAGATGGCATGTTTCAGGAATCGAGAGATATGCCTGGCTACAGCACTGAGAACCAGGGAAAAGTGACACAGTAGAAAGCTTGTAAGGGGACTGGAACCAGGTTGTGCAGTCTTCTAGGGCACAGGAGGAAAATGTTAGTCTTTGTTCTAATGGTACTGGGAAGCCAGTGAGAGGGTTTCAAACAGGAGGGAAATAGTCCACGAGGAATATGTAGGGGAAAGAGTGGAAGCCTGAGGACAGAACTTGAGAGTAGGAGGATTTGCCAAGAAGGAGATGAAGAAGGGCATGTCAGAGAAACAAGGAGACTAAAGAAAGTGGTTGTACAAACCAAGAGGGGGGTGGTCAGCAGTGCAGCCAGAAGGCACTTGATGACTTAGTGGAGCCGCTGCACTGCCCAGGCAGGATGTGCCCACCTCAGCAGGCAGAGACTTCTCTCTCTAGCTCTTAAGCAGAAGGAGCTGCTTAAGAGCTGCTAACTTGCAGAAGAGGACTGTGCAACCACTGTAGGTTGGAGATCCAAGTGTGAGAAAGGAGACACTTGAATTTAACACTACCCTCAGCCTGAAACAGAGTTAATGTGACCACATTTATGTAATTAATTTGATCGTTATGATTGTCCTACCCCTAGTAAGTTGACCCTAAGAGAAAATTTGTTGTAGTAAGTGGAAGGGCATTGTAAGAAAAACTTTTTTATTTTTTTCATTTTATGTGTGGTAAGTCTGGGTGCCCACCTTATATAAGTGATTTTTCACAAGGTCATAGTTAAAATATTTGAGACTTTTTTCATAGGTTAGAGATTTTATTTGATGTTTCGACTAGATTATCCAGGTTTTTATTTCAAGAATTGTCTACATTTTAATAGAATAAAACAATGAAACATAGAAAATCCCTCCCCCCCCCTTAAAAGCTACCATTAATAATTTAATTCTTTGACAGAGTAGGCCCTGGTCCTGCCAATTTATGGACTTTTATTAATTTTACATGGATTTAGTCCTATCTTAATAGACCAGAGCTTTCTTCTTTCCCCTATTATGTTTTCGTTTATGAGGCTTTTTCTTCCAGACAGCTTTATGCCAGTTCCCTTTTTTATAAATTGCAACTTACAGTTTGCAAATTCAACATACAGTCTTTAGATTTAGCTTAATGATTGTTATTTTTAATTGCTATTATTTTATGGAGAAACTTGTAATGGGTAACATCAAATTGTTGCAACTTTAATGACAGTGTCCTTCCTTTTCATTCTAGCCAGAAGTCTCTGGGCTAAACTTAGACCCATGGCTACTGTTGCTCATTAAGAACCAGTACCTTCATACCACTTAGAGGTTCAAGGTTGTAGGATTTGTCTTATGACATATCAGGCACTTGGATAGATGAAAGAGGGATCTATTTGTTTCTCTATCTACAGGTCTACCCATTTTGTAACTTAACATGGTAACAATTCAGACCACTTTGTGTGGCCTGGATCCATATACTCCTGCATCTCTGTTCTAGAGTTTATTTTTTTGTTTTTGTTTTTGTTTTCCTCACTGGAGGACATTTTTTTCCATTTTTTTGTTCAGATAGAGTGGGAAGGAGAGAGAGAGAGAGAAACATCGATGTGAAAGGGACACATCGAGGGGTTGCCACCCGCGCGACCCAACAAGGGCCGGGGACAAACTGCAACCATGGTACATGCCCTTAGTGGGAACTGAACCCGGGTCTCTCTGGACCGCAGGCTGACGCTCTAACCACTGAGCAAAACTGGCCAGAGCTGTTCTAGAGTTTTCAGAAAGCATTCTCCTTTCCACGGTTGATAAAATTTTTTTGGTCACATATTAGAAAAGGCTTCAAGAGCTGATTATCAACAAAAGTGCCTTGAGATCAAGCATCATCATACCTTCCAGCTATCTGTCAACATTTACTTGGTATGGACCTATCAATTGTATAAAGCTGGTTAAATAAATAAGTTACCTGACAGTTACTCTATTGATTAATCTTGGAGGTTCCAAGCATGCTACATTGAAATTTCTTTTGAGGTTGAATCTATATAACATAAAATTAACTTTTGAAAAATGTACGGTTCAGTTGCATTTAGTACTGTTTAGTACATTCACAACGCTGTACTACCACCACCTCTATCTAGTTCCAAACATTTCCATCACCCCCAAGGAAACCCCACACCCATTAACAATCATTCCCTATTCCTCCCTCACCCAGCCCCTTGCAAACACCAGTCGGCTTCAGTCTCTATGGACTTGCCTCATCTGGATATTTCATAAAAATCGAATAATTTAATATATGCTCTTTTGTGACTGCTTTCACTCAGCATGTTTGCAAGGTTCATCTACATCATAACATCAGTACCTTTATCCCTTTTCATAACCATATTCCATTGTATGTATATACAAAATTTTGTTTTACAGCCATGACAAAATTTTAAAATCTAGCACTGGTGGCAATTTCCATAATAAATATATCATGGTTATTTTTAACGGTGTACCATTTTGAGGTTGAACATCTATTTCTATCTTAAGCTTTCTGAGGTAACCCTTGGCTTTGCCCACCCTCCCTTGGGGAGGCTATCATAAAAGATACTAGCTTTACCCAGCCGGTGTGGCTCAGTGGATTGAGCATCGCCCAATGGACTGAGGAGTCCCATTTGGATTCCTGTCAACATGCTGGGTTGCAGGCTCAATCCCCAGTAGGGGACATGTGGAAGGCAGCCAATCAATGTTCTCTCTCACCGATGTTTCTGTCTCTCTCTCCCTTTCACTCCTTCTCTCTCTAAAATCAATAAAGAAAAAAAATTTTAATCAGTTAAAAAGCATTTAAAAAAATGTTAGCTTTATTTTTGTCAGCTTATTATCAAAACTTATGAGACCTGCCCTAATTTAGCTAAATTTTATTTTACCGGAGAATATACCTTGAACACTTGTTCTCTGGTTCTTTTCAAAGGCCTAATTTCAGGAAATAATGTATAGAATATATATTCTATGTATTCCCCTAGAATATAGATCAGGATTGTAAACTACAGACCACAGGCTAGCTGCCTGTGTTTGTAAATAAGTCTCTTGGTTTTTGTTGTCTTTTCATAATCCTCACCCGAGGATATGTTTTTATTGATTTTTAGATAGAGAGGAAGGGGGAGAGAGGGAGAAAGAGAGAGAGAGACGTTGATGTGAGAGAAAAACATTGATTGGTTGCCTCTCATACACACCTGACTGGGGATCAAACCCACAACCTAGGTAGATGCCCTAACCAAGAACTGAATCCACCCTTTGGTGCATGGGACCATGCTCTAACCACCAAAGCCACCATCCAGGGCTGTAAATAAAGTTGTGTTGGTGTACAGCATGTCCACTTATTTGTGTGTTGTCTATGGCTGCTTTCACTGCAGTGGCAGAGTTGAGTAGCCGCACAGAGACCATTAACTCCTGATCTAGCTCATCAGTTCCTAATCTGAGTTCCACCTTCCCCTACCTCTGAGGAACCAATAGATGGGCTTAAATGTTTTGTGAAAACCCTGAAATTTTATGCAAAACTACATGCACTTGTATGTATCACATATGTTTACCTGGAGAAAGGATCTGTGACTTTTTTCAGATTCCAAAAGGGATACTAGACCCCAAATGATCAACATTGTTCTAAGTAGCCAAAATGTTAGTTTCCTGTGTTACCCTAGATCAGTAGTTCTTAAACTTTTTACGCCAGGTCCCCTATACACTTTAAAATATTTTTGGGACCCCAAAGAGCTTTTGTTTATGTGGGTGGTAGCCAATGGTATGTACCATATTAGAAATTAAAATGGAAAGTTTAAAAACATTTATCTACTTAAAAAACAATAAACCCATTACATATTTACATTGTATTACATTTTTTGCAAATATCTTTAATGTCTAGCTTAATAAAAGATAGGTTCTCATATGTTCAGCATTCAGTCTGTTGTGATATCACAGGTTATGTAGCCTCTGGAAGTGTCTCCTGTACACCAATGAAAGTGAGAAAGGCAAAGAGTGGCTTGGAATCACTATGAAGAGAGTTTTGTCATCATCATGTACCCCTGAAAGGTCTCAGGACCCTGGGGTCCCCAGACCGTACTTGGAGACAGTGTATTTGGACTGCATTATCTATGCTCCTGCTGAATTACACTCTGCTATTTTGGCTTCAGCATGCATTGAGGGATGTCTTAAGAAAAAGTTCTGGAAGCTTGCCTTGCTGTTTATTGTTGGCCTTTTGGTGAGGAGTTGGTCTGGTACGAAAGGGACATTGTACATTGCCCTTTCATGAGCAGCCACAGGGGACACTTCCTTCGGGTTTCAGTGCCAGGAGGAGCTGTGCCACTTCTGGGCCACTGGTAGGTTTTTAAATCTTATAAAAGCAGATGTTCCAAACTGGTCCTGTTTTCTTCTCTGCTTTGGCAAGTGGGAATCTCGGAGCTTAATTTTCAGCCCTTATGTATAGCGTGCATGTCTTGATTGTGTCCCTGGCTTTGTTCTTTTCCTTTTCCCGCCTCTCAATTTTTTCTTCCTCTAGATCTTGTTTTCCATTTACATATTTTAGTAAGTTATATTTTGTTTTGTGTTTCTGTAAACTGTCTGATTTTTTTAAAAACAAGATTGAGTATAAATTATTTTAAGTAAAAATTTCATTTCCCCTTTGTGTGTAAAGTATTAGCATCTAGTCAATTGAGTCCGTTTTGATTTACAGAAATTAGTGAATCACTTTACTTCTGGTGTCATTTTCATCAAGTTACCTTAGATAAATAGAAACGTTGCCATCCTATATCTGGAAGTATTAAGATGTTATTTTGTTTCATTATATACTATATATAGTACAGTTACTTGGCAGTTTTGCTATTTACTACCTCACAGCCTCTGCCCTATTTTTCTATTTTATTTCTGTCTCATGTACACAGACATTCTTGCTATTAGTATCAGATTCGTTTAGTCATAACAGCCTTTTTGTGCCTGTTTGGAACTTTTGTAAATTATTTTTAATGCTATGCTTAATTATGTGTGTATGTTTTTATCAGTGTGGTTCTGCTGATTTTAAACTTGGAAAAACTTAAAAAGGTATTCCCAAACTGAGAAGCCCTCCTTCTGTTCTTTAGAGCCTGAAATTAATTGAAACCAAAGAGAACCCTACAGTTGGGTGGCGGTGATATGGTAAAGCCTTGGGTCACATACCCGTCCTCATTTCATTAGGGGGCCATATGTGTGTTATAAAGAGGGATTTTACTGAGATGTAAGAAAAAAATAATGTGCTTCATGCAAGTTGAAGTGGGTAGAGATCAAAATGTATTTTGTATAAAATATTCTCATAATTTTTTGAAGATTAGACTTTGCATATTTGTTGCTATATAGATGCTGTCGTTTCAATTTTCAGAAGACTGTGCAGTCTTTTTAACTGATGAAGAACAAGCCTTTGTCTTCCTGTAATTCTGAAGTGAAGTTGAGTCACCCAACAAGAAAAAAACTAAGTCCAGTTAAAATATAGGCGTAGGAATAGAATGCTGAAACAAACCTCTGGATTGGCTTCATTGGCTTTCCTGCTTCTTTTGCATCCCAAAGCATAAGCTTAAATCATCTCAGAAGGACAAGGTCCGCCAGTTTATGGCATTTACTCAGGCTGGCGAAAGAACTGCCATCTACTGCTTAACACAGAATGAGTGGAAACTAGACGTGGCCACCGACAACTTCTTTCAAAACCCGGACTCGTTCCACAAGGAATCCATGAGAAACACAGTAGACAAGAAGAAGCTGGAGCAGCTGTATAACAGGTACAAAGGTAAGGGGCAGCAGTGACAACAAGGGTAGACAGTAGAGAACTCACGTCCATCTCTAGGGAGTGGAATGAACGTTATATTTCTTGAATTTCTAATGCTGTGTTCAGAAGATCTCCAAGATGCTGTTCCTACTCTTCCTGATAATTCAGCTGTAAAATCCAAGCAGTTTAAATGGAACTGGGACTATTAATCAATATAGATTAGGGGTGGGATGAGAAGCGAAAAATCTAAACATTAACTGGCAGTCAGCTCTCCTCACTGGGATCACCAGTGGCAGGGGAGCCATCAGTGATGTCATGGCCAGGTGGCTGCACCTGTGAATACAGTGTTTTTTCCCACACAGTTCCATCTAAGGCTGCAGTATTGGTAGTGAGAAAGTTTTTAAAAACAGTACCAAATCATACATACAATTCTGACGTGTCAGTAAAAGTCATCCTTCCCTTAACACAGGGTAGTAGCATTGTAACATTGGAACAACTTCAGTTGTTGCAATAGCTTTGGGAAAAGCTCTTACTAAAGAAAACTTTGTGTTGGAGATTGGGGACAGTTGCTATTTTTGTTGAAATCAGCACCTAGAATGGAGCTTTCCATATCAGAATATAATCATACTGCAAAAATAAGTCTGCATGTTGAATATGTACAAATTCAAATCACCCAGCAGGCTTTCAGATTTCATATCAAATGTCAAATCTGTGCTGTAATGAGAGAGGCAGCAAGATTTAAGAGTTGATGGAGTTGATTTAATTTTTCGTTTTTTAGTAGTTTCTAAGGCTAATCCTTTTATTTCCAAAACTTAAAAATAAATACTTATTTAAACAAGTATTAACTCAAACAGATTAACTCCCTTGGCTTTAAATTCTTGCTTATTATTTTCAAGTTTTACTTTTGAGAATACTCTGTGTACATTTTAATCTGTCTATTTAGACCTGAAGAATGGATTGAAAATTGCACTTTTAAAAAAATCTTGGTTCAGAAACATATTCTGGTTAAAAAAAGATTTGTACTTGTAGTTCTTGAAAAAATATGAACATTATTTTCAATTAAGCTTTAGTGTGCTTTAAATTTTTTTTTAATCCTCACCGAGGATATTTTTCCTTTTATCTTCAGATAGAGCAGGAGGGAGAGAGGGAGGAAAGAGAGAAAAAGAAACATCGATGTGAGAGAGACATACCAACTGGTTGCCTCCCACACAACCCCAACCAGGGCTGGGGACAAACTGCAACCAAGGTATGTGCCTTTGGCCAGAATCAAACCCGGGACTCTTTGATCTGCAGGTCGATGCTCTAACCACTGAGCCAAACAGGCCAGGGGAGTTGCTTTAAATTTTTTTGGCTAACTTCATTGTTGAGCTAATTTTATAAGTCAGATGCTATGCAGATCTTTTAAATTATTCAAATATGTGCAGCTGCCTTTGAAAAAAATACTTTTATATAAGTGAAAATTGTTATTTTTCTTTAGTTTAAACTTCATCCCTTCATTTAATATTACCCATGTAATTCTAGTCATTTAGAGTAGATATATGGTACAATCATTTTGAGTTCTAAAAATAAATACACAGTATAGTTCAAAGACTATTCACAGACACGATGTTGGTAATTATTACGTGAATATATACAAATGAATAAGTACTTCCAAAATTATGTTGAAATATTCAATATTATTGTATATAAAGTTTACTGAGATCGCTTATTAGGTGAGCACATTGTAGACCAATTTTTCTATTATCCTAAAAACCTGTAATGTTAGGAGCACAGAATTGGATAGAAAGACAAGTGGAATGTTTTACAGACCTTTGTCCTGTGAGCCCACGACTACAGTTGTTCTGTCACTAATACTTTTGAAATAGTATCAGCAGAATAGAGGTGGAAGGATATTTGTGGTTTCATTCATTTAATCATCATTTTTTCATACACACACACACACACACAATATAGTATTTAGTGCTTAAGTGACTAAAACTAAACCTTGTATGACAAGAAAAGTTTATAACATTCTATATATATATATATATATATATATATATATACACACACACACACATATATATAGTTGTTGTTAATCCTCACCTGAGGATATATTTTCCATTTATTTTTAGAGAGACAATGGAAGGGAGGGAGGGAAGGAGAGAAAGAAAGAAAGAAACGTTGATATAAGAGAGACACATTGGTTGGTTGCCTCCCGCAAGCACCTTGACCAGGGTGGGGGAGCAAGCCTGCAACCCCAGGTAAGTACCCTTGACTGGGAATCAAACTTATAACCCTTCAGTGCCTGGGCTGATGCTCTAACCACTGAGCTACACCAGCCAGGGCCATCACACAATCTTTATTTAAGCAAAGGAGCTACAAGTTTTCTGTTTCCACCTTCTAAACAGAATTAACATATACATTATGATAATAATTATATAATACACACAATCTGTCTGAAATTGTAGATCTAATTGGTGAGGTCTTGCTGGGATTCTTCTTTTAGTAAATTTTACTATTTGATTTTCTGACAGGGAAATGATGTTTCTTAATTTTAACTACACACCAGAAACAAAGGGCAGGGGAAGCCTGAATTTCTAAGCTGTTAAACATGGATGCATAAACTAAATGATTTGAAAATAATTATTGTACAGTAACATTATAATTATAGCAAATGAAATCACATTTAAAAGAAGAACATCAATCTTTTTGTGGAGTTGTGATAAAAACTTAAAATATTATGGATACTTTACCAAAGCAGTGTTTTTGTAACAATTTGCTGTTTGGCAAACTAAAATTTTGTAAACTTGAATTTTCATTTTACTTTAGGGAAATTACATTTTTTCTTAATGATGAAGTCTTCTCAAAGAAGTTTCAGTGATTTTTTTTTTTTTAACTGAAGCCCAGAAACCTAGACTTTGGAAATAGGAGTATATTCTGGATAAATTATTATTTGTTGCTGTCTTTCTCATATAGTAGAAAATTACAGTCTGTTGATCGATGTATTTGAAACAAGCTTGCTAGAACTATGCAGTAGGTGTATGATTCTAACAATCCATTTCAGTAACCCTTTTCAAAATAGTATAACTTATTTTTCCCTTAATTTTAACTATAGACCCACAAGATGAAAATAAAATTGGAATTGATGGGATTCAACAGTTTTGTGATGATTTAAGCCTAGATCCTGCCAGTATCAGCGTTTTGGTTATAGCATGGAAATTCAGGGCAGCAACTCAATGTGAATTTAGCAAAAAGGAATTTGTAGATGGCATGACAGAGCTTGGGTAAGTAAACTGGTCCCATTTTAAATTTTTTCAGAAAGGAAGATACTTTCAACATTAATTCTTTTTTAGTCTGTAAATATTAATTTTATACCAATTTATTTTCTTTGTGTATCTTATAAATTTCTTATGCATCTGCACTATATTAAGCCTTTGGTTTCTCTTTAAGTTCCAATTTAAGTTTTATTTAATACTTTTATTTAGATTAATCCCTTTTGTAACTTATTTTCTACTTTTTAATTTTTTTCTAGTTTTAAATTGACAGTAAACATCAGAGTGTTTTTGTTTGTTATCAGCTATTCAGTTTATTTCATAATACTGTGTACTAACTGTGTAGTTTAGTGTGTTGCTATATTAAACATTAATAAAATGTTTATTTTTGCTTTTAATATTTATTGTACCTACAGGGTTGGGATAAAAGCTTCATTAATAACTTAAGATGTTTCTCACTTATGAGCACATAACAAACATCTTTTAACCATTAAGCTTATTGAACTATGTCATGGGGTCATGTAAAAGCCCACTTGCTTGACTTGCTGATATTCTGATATTTCAATGTTGACAACTTAAACTAGCTTTTTTTTAGCTGCTGAAGGAACTTGAAAGCCTAAGGTAAACATATTAAGTCATGTGCTTACAACATTCCAGGGAAAAAAACAGAGCATTTGTTTTTTCAACTGAACTTATGAATTTGTCAGCCTTATCTGTTTAGATGATTAACTCTATAAGACTTTCATTTCCAGTGTTATTTTACCATATTCCTGGGGGTTTTATAAAACTAACCAAAGAGAACATTATGACAATGGTGTAATAGCGTATTTCTTTGTATTCTTTGCACTAGGAAAGCCTAGGTGAATTACCAGTAGTTTTAAAATGGAAAACAGCCTATTAAAGAAGTATTCCATGGGCATGATACCATACACTATCCTGTCTGTTAAAATCTCCCCAAAATGAGAGATTTGGAAATAAGTGCTTCTTATAGAAACACTTTCTGATGTTTCTAAGGCATTGTCTAGAAATATGATGTACAAGTACATTTTTAAAATGCTTGTTTATTATCCTGTTAAGTGTCATCACTTTAAAAACATAACTTAAGCCCTGGCCGGTTTGGCGCAGCAGTTGGAGCATCGGCCTGTGGTCCAGAGAGACCTGGGTTCGGTTCCCACTAAGGGCGCGTGCCTCAGTTGCAGTTTGTCCCCGGCCCTGGTTGGGTCGTGTGGGTGGCAACCACTCAATGTGTCCCTTTCACGTCGATGTTTCTCTCTCTCTTTCTCTCCCTCCCACTCCATCTGAACAAAATATCAAAAAATGTCCTCAGGTGAGGATAAAAAAAAACACCATACCTTAAAAAAATAAAATGAAAATATACCTTAAAGATTTTGAGTGTGAATCTTTGCAACATGTGTTAATTTCATGCCCTCTTATATGGAGTACACAGAATGTAATTTAAGATGACCAGTTAAATGTTAATGGTACTGCTGTCCACATCTCACAGGGCATTTAAAGGTGAAAGCATTTTGTAAATATCAATGTGGCATGTACTAAGCGAAAGTATCATTCATGTGTTAGTAAATTGTATTTGTAAAGACAATCTCAGTGCTTTTAGGGATGCAAAGAACCATTGGCTTGTAGTCTAAGTAGCACTAAACTTTAAAATATACTTTGGCTTTTGTGTTTGCTCTATTATTATTTTTTCACACTTTTTCCTGGCTGTTAACTATTGACTGTGGCTAGAGTACCTGCCTTTAACAAGTAATTTTACATCCTTTCATTGAGAGCTTGAGGATTCTTAAGCAGACTGAGTAAACTTTGTGAAATACCTTGACATCTTTGTAAAAACAACAACAACAAAAATTGACTATGTGTGTTGCTCTGTTCCTGGGTTCTCTTTTGTGTTCCAGGGTCTGTTTGTCCTTCACTCAACACCACATAGTCTTGAGTATTGTAGCCTCAAGTTTTGACTGCAGGACACAAGGTCAGCAAACAAAAACTGATTTTATTTCAAAACACCGAATGTAACAATGCCACAAAACAAAGTGAATTTTTAAAATATCATTTCCAGTAGTGTTAAAATATAAAACACGTATGATCAATCTAATTAAATATATGTTACCCGCATAGAGAAAACAACTCTCTGAGAGACAGAAAACCTGAATAAATGGAGAAATATACCTCATTTACAGGTCAGAATACTTAGTGTGTGGTCCCTAAATTTATCTATACATTTAATGTCCTATCTAATAAATAGTAGGTTTATGTGTGTGTAATTTGACAAGCAGATTTTAAATTTATATGAATATGCACAGTCAAGAATAGCCAACAATTCTTTTTTTTTTTTTTTATCCTCACCTGAGGACATTTTTCCATTTTTTGTTCAGATAGAGCGGGAGGGAGAGGAAGAGAGAGAGAGAGAAACATCGATGTGAAGGGACACATCGAGTGGCTACCACCCGCACGACCAACCAGGGCCGGGGACAAACTGCAACCAAGGTACGTGCCCTTAGCGGGAACCGAACCCGGGACTCTCTGTACCGCAGGCTGACGCTCCAACCGCTGAGCCAAACCGGTCAGGGCAATAGCCAACAATTCTTAAAGAAAAAAATAATTAGGTGAGAAGATTTGGTCTACCCAGATAATCAGGACTTTTCAAACTGTAGTAGCTAAGACTATATTGAAAACCAGAATAGATAAATATTCCAGTGTAATAGAGTGGAGGGTCAAGAAACAAATCCATGTATACAGGTACAGCACTTTAGGAAAATGAAGAAATAACATCGTTTCAGTAAATGGTCCTGGGAGAATTGGCATATGGAGAAAAATTCATTTTGATCCCTACCTCACACCATACATAAAAATCAGTTCCAAGTGGATTGTAAATCTCCATGAGAAAGGCTAAAGGCAGAGCCTCTAGAAAATAATCTAGGAGACTATCTTTATGATCATGCAGTCGAAAAAGTTTTAAAACATCACCAAGAAAACACTATAGAGAAGAAGGTTGGTAGAGTGTACTATACTAAAAAGAACAGATCATCAAAAAACACCTTCAAGGAAGTGGAAAGGCAGCTCATATTCTGAAATGCTTTAAAAATACTTAACTGACAAAGGCTTGTATCCCTAAGATATAAAAATCTCCTATAAGACAATAGGAAAAAGATAACCTAATTGAAAATGGGCAAGAGACTTGTACAGGCACTTCACAAAGCAGAATTTTCAAATGGCCTGTGAAAATACAAGAATGTGCTCAATCTCATGCTTTGGGGAAGTGCAAATTAAAACCACAAGGAAATAGAACCTCACAGCCCACTCTCTAATGGCTAAAATAAGACACAGTCACAAGTATTAGTGAAAATGTGAGGCAACAGGAACGCTGGTGTACTGTTAGTGGAAGTGTGCAGTGAGACCATCACATTGGAAAACGGTTTGACATTACTTACTAAACTGAAGGTGCGCATACCCTGTGACCCAACTGTTCTCCTCTTGGGTGTGCCTCACATAACACATGCATGCATGTGCCAGGATACATGTACAGAAACATTTTTAACAACATTCTTTGTAACCAGAAAACTAGAAACAGCCAAAATATTTATCAGTAGAATATATAAATTATAAAATATGAATATAGTGGAATGCTACATGGCAATGGGAATGAACCAACCACAGCCACACATGTCAGCGTAAATGAACCTGACAGATGTAATGTTGGCACAGAAAGCCAGACGCAAAATAATACATACCATGAGTTCCCATTTGAAAAGTTCAGAAGCAGGGATAAGTACCACACCGTCAAGGAGTGCTTGTTGGCGTGATAGAGGCATAAAGAAGACCACATGGAGGAAAGGGGTTGTAATGGGGAGGGGCGCACAGCCACGCCCCCGGCGCTACTGTCTGCTGGTTCTGCACTCAGGAGCACCCATGACAGTCCTGGAAGCTGTGCATTTGTGCCTCTGGTTCATGGACTTTCTAGTCTGTGGATGGTTCTGGCCACTCCAGGACTTTCTCCATTGTCTCTCTTCAGCCCTGCTCTGCTTGGGTGTGCAATAAGGGAAGTGTTGCCTTTGTTCCCTTCCTTGCTATGCAGTCAAAATTAAAACAACGACTTTTATGTTTTGCTATTCTAGATTCTGCTTTAAAGGCTTTTTAATATTCTTAAAAGTTATTGACTTTGGAGGACAATTCCATTTTAAAACAGTAGAGTTGTGTTTTATTGTACTTGGATATGTTAAATCTAACCCACTGTCATAAAGAACCCTCTAGATGCAGTAGCTTAAGTGCTACGGGTTTATTTTCCTCTCGCAGGATGGGGCTGTGGTAGCAGTGGGACAGGCTGGCAGAGTAACTCAGTTCTACGAGGTCACTCTGTCATCTCAGGGCATTGGCCTCTATGTTATCAAAGCTGCATAGTTAAACCATGTTTCTATTCCAGTTCACACAGAGGAGGGCAAGCAATTTTGTTTTTTTTATTTTGTTTAATGTTTTTATTGACTTTTTTGAGAGAAAGGAAGGGAAAGAGAGATAGAAGCATCCATGTGAGAGAGAAACATAGATCAGCTGCCTCCTGCACGCCCCCTTACTGGGGATTGAGCCTGAAACCTGGGCATGTGCCAGACCAGGATCGAACCAGGACCTCTCAGTCCATGGGGCAACGCCCAGTCCACTGAGCCACACCAGCCAGGCCTGATTTTTTTTTTTTTCTTTTAATGACAGTTTTAGTAAGATATAATTCACATGCCAAACAATTCATCCATTTTTAGTGTACAACCTAGTGGTTTTGGTGCATCCACAGAGCTGTGCAGCCATCACCACAGTCAGTTTTCGAGCATGTCGAGGCTTTTTAGCTAGAGAAAGGGGCCCACCCCCCTTAGACCCAAGCCTCAGGCTGCACCAGATGGCAGAGATTGGGAAGACCTGTCTGCTCCCTGACAAAGCACTGTGTCTGTCTCTCGTCACAGGTGTGACAGCACAGAGAAGCTGAAAGCTCTTCTGCCAAGGTTGGAGCAAGAGCTCAAGGACACCGTGAAGTTTAAGGATTTCTATCAGTTTACTTTTACCTTTGCTAAGAACCCTGGGCAAAAGGGTTTAGGTGAGTATAAAATCCAAACGTGAAAGAAGCCACATCTTGAGACTGTAAGTGGACATGATGAACACGATTTCAGTCCTGCCTGTTGTAATGTTATTATCCCTCGGTGTGTTTTTTCTTTCCACTGATTTGCTCCATGTACAGACAGACCATTTGTAGTATCATATACTTGAACACCTCAACCCATATCACTCTCAAAGTCTGAGTTTAAGTATTCAAATTTTAAAATGTAAATGATTTTGCAAATGCACTATGTTCTCTCACATTGGTTTCTAATTGACTAATGAGTTAGAGAGGTCAGCAATTAGTGTTGACAGTGGGCATGTTTGTACTGGCCAAGTGTGTGATCCCGCTGTGGTGTTGCTAAGATTGCCAGGTGACATTAGTCTTGTCCTGATCTGGAGATTTAAACTTAACTTACTCGAAACCAACTCTGATGTACATTGTGTTACTTTAGTGTGGGCACATCTCATTGTATTGCGCTTCACAGACACTGGGTTTTTATCAACATTGAGGCAAGACCCTCCAGCAAAAAGATGACAATTCTCTGAAGGCTCAGGTGATGGTTACCATTTTTTAGCAATCAAGTAGTTTTAAATTAAGATATGTACATGGCTTTTTAAAGACATAATGCTGTTGCACACTTCTCTGAGGTGTACAATTTTGTTATAATATAACTTGTGTATTACTTGTGTATTATGGTGCATTCGGAAGATTTTTAACTTAAAATTTTAGTTTGAATTTTTGGTTTATTTAAGGGTTTATTCTGCTCATTTTAATTTGCTTTACCTCTAAGTACTATATAGTTTATTTTTGTCTTTTATAAAAATAAATCTGTATTGACCTACATTTTTTTTTTTTTTATCCTCACCCGAGGACATTTTTCATTTTTTGTTCAGGTAGAGTGAGAAGGAGAGAGAGAGAGAGAGAAAAAAAAAACATTGACGTGAAAGGGACACATCAAGTGGCTGCCACCCGCACGACCCAACCAGGGCCAGGGACAAACTGCAACCAAGGCAGGTGCCCTTTAGCGGGAACTGAACCCGGGTCTCTCTGGACCGCAGGCCGACGCTATAACCGCTGAGCCAAACTGGCCAGGGCTTGACCTACATTTTGTTGCCTAATGTCACAGACTTATTTATGTTTAGTTCATTAAAATCTCTTACAAGTTTGGAAGAGGAATTATATAAGGATTAAACAGGTATATTAGAAAGTACCTTTCGATGAACAGTTTTTATAAATAAAAGCAATATTATAAGATGACCAAATAGGTAGGAAACCTGAAAGGGGTGTGTGCAGTAGGCATTCTCATCCCTCTGTCTTTCTGACATTCTTCCTTCTCTCAACAGATGGAGTGCAGGTGCAGATTGAGGCAGCAGGCACCTCTGTCTCGGGTCGGGGAGATGGGCAGAGGCACCTCTGCCTCGGGTCGGGGAGATGGGCAGAGGCACCTCTGCCTCGGGTCGGGGAGATGGGCAACTGTCTTTTCCCAAGCACTGCTTTCTAGTTCCCATGGCAGGGATTTTCTTCATTTTCTCCAGTGTTTTAGGTTGTTCGTTTTTCCTGTTCCTGCATCACACTGTGATGGGTCTCTTGTCAGACTCCCCCCACCCCACCCCACCCCACACACACTCTAGGCTGGTCCTCCATGTGAACAGGCTTCTCGCCTTCCAGGCCCCTCTCAGGTCTGCACCTACCACCTGAGGAGCTGAAAAGGCTCTCCCACAAGGCTCCTGTTTAGGCACTTACTTGAATGGATCTGCTTAAAGCTTCAGAAGGTGGAGATGGCAGATCCGCTGGGAAGATATGAATGTAGCTTTTCTTGTTGGAGGAAGTGGGTGAGCAGAGAGAGGCTGTCAGTTGTGTAACGATGCAGCGGTGAGGAGTCTCCTACGTCACAGGCTTTGCACATTGCCCACTTTGTCCTGAGACAGAGAGCCAAGGTCATGGAAAATGTTTGTGGGACCCCATGGGAAGAGATGGTTTGGACACATTTGTTTGTGAAGAAAATGACCAGTTTCCTGTTTGGCCTGATGTCAGTGAAGGATCTGGTTTCATACCAGGTGCACAGACTGAATAGAAAGGAGAGTCCACGGCAGCACCAGGTTGGAGTGAGCGTGAGCAGTGAGAAGCAGCAGCAGAAGCTGGGTGTTGTCTGTTCTCACCCCCTCACAGAAGCCGACACATGGTCAACTGACTGAGATGCGGGGGCCCGGGAGCCACTGCAGGCAGGAGCCTTGATTTGCCCCTGGGCTCTCTGTGGCCCGTCGGGGTGTCGCCTGGAGAAGAGCTCTCCAGGTGCTTACAGAAGGACCGCAAGGCGGCAAGACTGAGGAGTAGTTAGCAGGGCCCTGGGTAACCCAGAATTCCAGATGATGCCAGTTGTATTAGTGCAGGGTGGAGAGTTGGACTCAGGTCTTGTGCTCCTGGGAAAAGTAGAGTACTTGGCAGACTTTAAGGAGAAGTAAGTCCTGCAGTGCTCCTCAGCAGACAGGCGACACTAGAGTGGAGTAACAGCATGTCGCCCAGTGCTGCCCCTCAGCCCTGGACACACTGTCTTCCTCTTCTGTGTCTTCTCTGCCACACAGATGTCCAAATCTAAGACTGGCTGCAACGTCAGTGTGGCTTTTGTTTGTAGGTGGCGGCTTTTGTCTTTTACCTGTTACTGGAAAGAAAAGTGGAAACGTCTGTATGAAGCACATGCAGTGTGGCAGCCAAGTGCCGTTATCTGATGCACATGAGCCTTCCCCTCACTTTATAAGCAGGGGGACAGGTTGAGGCATGGAAGCACGTGCTAGAGGAATGAACACGGGCTGTGATGGGGTTTGGAGCCCACCCTCCCCTGTCGTGTGTTCACCCCTCCCCGGTAGGCTGCCTGACGGGGGCTGCAAGCAGGCCTGAGCGCCGGGCGTCTGCAGGAGCAGAGAGCGGCGGCGCAGCATCCGGTTGCACAGCCTCACTGTCCTGGCCCAGTGGAGAAAGGTTGGACCCCAAAGTGGGGTCAGGCCTGTCTTGGCCCGTGCACTCCCTTGTGGTCACTCTGCTTGCCATGGCACTGCCTTCCTTTAGGGCTTTCTCCTCTGAGCTTGTCTGACCCCTCACATTCTCGAAACACCCCAGGACTCAGTTTTAACCAGTTTCTGTGCCAAGATAGTTCCCATTCTACCTACATCTTGCATTTTCTATTATTTGGTTTCAATTTACTTGTTTTGTATTATGCATATATATTGTATGAGCAAAATACATTACAATGTTAAATCTCCTATAATGTTCATAGTTCTGTTTTAGCACGGATGACTTCAATTTTTAAAAGCAACAAACATTGCCAAAGGAGTGCAGTGCTTCCCCCATGCAGGGTTGCTTCATCTGCTTATGTCAAGGTTGGAGCTGCTTAGAAGTGATGTTCAGCGTCGTCCACTCCTGTGTGTGGACAGGAAATGCTTTCTTGTTCTTTCAGAGAGCCACAGCAGTGTGTCCTGACTGAGGGTGCGTCACCCGGTCGTGAGCGCAGTGCGTCCTGACTGGGGGTGCGACACCCGGTTGTGAGCTGCAGTGTGTCCTGAGGGTGCGTCATCCGGTTGTGAGCGGCAGTGTGTCCTGACTGAGGGTGCGTCACCCAGTTGTGAGTGGCAGTGCATCCTGAGGGTGCGTCACCTGGTTGTGAGCGGCAGTGCATCCTAACTGAGGGTGCGTCACCCGGTTGTGAGCGGCAGTGTGTCCTGAGGGTGCGTCACCCGGTCGTGAGCGGCAGTGCGTCCTGACTGAGGGTGCGTCACCCAGTTGTGAGCGGCAGTGCATCCTGAGGGTGCGTCACCTGGTTGTGAGCGGCAGTGCGTCCTGACTGAGGGTGCGTCACCCGGTCGTGAGCGGCAGTGCGTCCTGACTGAGGGTGCGTCACCTGGTTGTGAGCGGCAGTGCGTCCTGACTGAGGGTGCGTCACCCGGTCGTGAGCGGCAGTGCGTCCTGACTGAGGGTGCGTCACCCGGTCGTGAGCGGCAGTGCGTCCTGACTGAGGGTGCGTCACCCGGTCGTGAGCGGCAGTGCGTCCTGACTGAGGGTGCGTCACCCGGTCGTGAGCGGCAGTGCGTCCTGACTGAGGGTGCGTCACCCGGTCGTGAGCGGCAGTGCGTCCTGACTGAGGGTGCGTCACCCGGTCGTGAGCGGCAGTGCGTCCTGACTGAGGGTGCGTCACCCGGTCGTGAGCGGCAGTGCATCCTAACTGAGGGTACATCACCCGGTTGTGAGCGGCAGTGTGTCCTGAGGGTGCGTCACCCGGTCGTGAGCGGCAGTGCGTCCTGACTGAGGGTGCGTCACCCAGTTGTGAGCGGCAGTGCATCCTGAGGGTGCGTCACCCGGTCGTGAGCGGCAGTGCGTCCTGACTGAGGGTGCGTCACCCGGTCGTGAGCGGCAGTGCGTCCTGACTGAGGGTGCGTCACCCGGTCGTGAGCGGCAGTGCGTCCTGACTGAGGGTGCGTCACCCGGTCGTGAGCGGCAGTGCGTCCTGACTGAGGGTGCGTCACCCGGTCGTGAGCGGCAGTGCGCCCTGACTGAGGGTGCGTCACCCGGTCGTGAGCGGCAGTGCGCCCTGACTGAGGGTGCGTCACCTGGTTGTGAGCGGCAGTGTGCCCTTTCTAGTGTGCCACCGGTGCTCAGGCCAGATTACAAGGCTTGAGTGTCAGTCTATAGAAGAGGGCTGTCTTGGGTCGAGGCAGCTAACGGACGGCTGTGAAGAGTTGCGTCTCGCCCTGGCCAGTTTGGCTCAGCGGTTAGAGCGTCGGCCTGCGGTCCGGAGAGACCTGGGTTCGGTTCCTGCTAAGGGCATGTACCTCGGTTGCAGTTTGTCCCCGGCCCTGGTTGGTCGTGCGGGTGGCAGCCACTCGATGTGTCCCTTCACGTCGATGTTTCTCTCTCTCTCTCTCCCTTCCTCTCTCTCCCTCCCACTCTATCTGTACAAAAAATGGAAAAATATCCTCAGGTGAGGATGATAAAAAAAAAAAAAAAGA